AAAGACTTTGGTATGCTTCTAGAACACATGTTTTCGCCAAGGGTATCAGGAAATAGTTCATTCGGCGCCGATTGGCATCACCTCTGTAATGCGCCATGCATAGGGCTCCCACGCAGAGGTGTTGGGAAGGATGCAACTTTCAAATAGGGTTTCCGCAAGCAGATGTGCTCCTGCGATCAAAAAAATCCGAAAGTATGTTGGTTTGTTTACTAATTCATGACGTCGTTATGGGCGTGTTCAGATGTCTTCACACGAATAAGTCTTTCATCATTGAAGCTGAGTACCGCTGCATTCCCCACTCGAAAAAGGACCCTAGCTTACGACACCCTCCCTTCCCCCCTCCCTAACGGTCAAGTACGACCCCCTGTTGTGATTATCACAACGATGGCGTGCCCTGCTCCCATCCCGGCTTCTTTGAGAAGAACACTAATCTTCTAGCCCATATGCTATAGCGCTCGAAGAAAAAGTTTCAGCGATTAGCAGAAATCGGAACAGTGTCGTAGAAACTTTACTTGTTGTAAAGGAAAAGACTGCTGACTGATGAACGCCAAATAACGCTGGAGCGTTGATTCCAAGAACGGATACAGGGAATAGGATATAATATTTTATTTCGCCTTTGAAGTCGAGCAAAAAAGTTTTTTTTGGTCCCTCTTGTATATAATTGGATAAGTGTGTATATGTGTGTTCATAGTTCGCCACTCAGCAGTCTTTTCTTTACAGTCAGTCAGTCACAGTCCAGCTTAGCACACTTGTCATGGTATTCTTAATGATCTCTCAATTATGAAATGAGCCTGACTATGAGAGATGAAACGAAAGCTCCGTGGATGCAAACGGGCATGCCCGTCATGACCTGACCTGACGTGTTCAATGAGTGTTCGAATCAGCTCGCCATTACACTGGGCATTCACATGAGCCACATCGTCTAGACCATCCCCTCGTATACAAATTTGGAACAATGTTCCCAACGCCATACGTATGATATTCTAAAATGGGATATGTTAAATGTCTACGTGTTTCACAAAACAATAAGACATCAAAATGATGCAATTCTAAGAAGACGACGGTCTTATGGGTGAGAAAAAAACCAAGTGCAGGAAAGAATCAATACTTCCATGTCTTGAAAACCTGCAAGATCAATACCATCTAACTGTAAATAGATACTCTTTTTTGCGAGTGGCGGACTGCGTAGTACTGTCAACAAGCCCTGACCTCGCCTTATCCGTTGATTTCTTACGCAAGGTGTTCCCCTTGTGGGCATTCAGGCTGCTGAATTCACTACTCAAACGATTCACTCGCGCGAATGTCACCGATCGCGCTTCACCGCTAGTTGAGGTGCTGCAACGGTGATTGTTACGTCCTGAAAGAAGAACTTAAATTCCGAGCGAATACATATTTTCGGACAGCGGGCGAGCAGTCGCGTCGCGGTCATTGCATGGGTCGCGTTGAATCTGGCGCGAGGGAGGAGATTTCACATGAAAATTGGAAGTTGAAACATGCAGTGTTTGATATATTGGAAGGTGAATGAGTAGTTCCACATATGTTCCTTTCTCCGTTCGCAGACCGTTCATGGAGTCACTTAGACATGAGCTACAATCATAGACACACTCACGTAGCTATTCAATAAGAAGCGTACACGGATTCTAAAGCCCCTGTCGTACGGAACCTTATGTCGGGTTTTTTTTCTGAGTTTTTAGAATCCTTCATGAGCAAAGATAGAAATTTCGAAGACATAAATCTAGTGCGACAGGGTTAATGGGTACTTCATAAGGGTGAAGTGCTAGCAAAGGAGTGCGCGGTATTTCTGTTCAGGATTTGGGGCAAAGATGACGACGAAAATATTGGGTTGGCACATAAGTAATGGCGTTTTTTCAATTGAAAATTTTGTTCCAAAAGTGAAATGTTTTGCAAGCAAGCTTGATATCATCTGATAGGAAACTTCTCGTAGTATAAGAATATCAAAACAGCTTCGGTTGAGGGAATAATTTTTGTGAATTTTTTAGTCGTTGAAGTTGGAAGTGAAGTCGGCGAAAATTAGCACCTTCGACACTCTATTTACGTCTACTCGATATGCTAAAAACGTTTAAGCTGCTCCATACATTTGAAAAAGGTTGAGCTAGAATTCTCAGCAAGGGAATCTCAATAGAACGCTTTGGAACGAATTCCAAAAATTTCAAAGTTGGCAC